CATCGCAAGAAGTTCTCTTCCACTGAATTTAGAGATCTGCATGTGTTGGCAAATGTTATGTAAATCCATGCCAACACTTTCACCACAATACATGCTCTATTTCCCCTCTTCTTTTATAGATATCTTTTATTTGGAACTTGGAGCTATTATTTTTTATCCTCCAACTTCTGGAAACCCTGAAGCATGTGGGCGTAGATCCACACTCGCTCTGAAACATACCTGACTAATAGCATTTAGCCGCTAGGTGTAGGGCTTAAAATGTCACTCATTCTTTTCTCCCTGAACGTTGCATTTTTTTCAAAGCAGTCTGAAGATGGAAAACAAGGCAGAAGACTTTATAATATTATAATACTTTATACCAAGGGCACTGAAATGACATCTTAACTGTTTTGGCCTGGCCAAGACGAAAACAAAGCCTGTATCTTGCTAGATTTACATCAAATGAATCATCGGACAGCTAGGGAATGCTGACACACATAATTTAAGAGGAAGAAAGACAAACATATCACACTGTGTTGTTTTCTGATCGCTGTTAAATCAACAGACATTTGGAAAACGTCATATTAGAATGATCCATGTCACTAAAGAATTCATTCCGTATCATTCAAGAAGGTTTCAGACTTGTTCCAGCAACAGATATAATTGAACTAAAAGATTACATGTCCATCATAGTATCAGAAATGTACGGTAGGTCTAGACTGAGTTTGGTTATTTAAGCTGTATTATATTAAAGTCTTCTTGTTTCTGACAGGAAATGTGAAATAAAATCTTAATTTTGGGAGGGGGCATTTCTTTGCCTTTATTTGATAGGACCAGCTGAAGAGTGACAGGAAAGAGGGGAGAGAAAGAGGGGACGACATGCAGCAAAGGGCCGTAGGCTGGTACCAAACCCATCGCAGCAACGCTCCACCAGGTGAGCCACCAGGGCACCTGTCCTTGAGTTTAATCTCTTAAAGGTCATATATTTTTAGATTATATGTTGAGTAATATTTGCACAATAATCCAGGCTCCAAAATTCACGTGTACCATGACAAAATATGTATGGGCCCTACATATGAATCAGTCTAATTAATATATTAACAGTGTTGGCAATAATTAAATAAAAAGTTATTTCATTTGAACCATTATATGAACACCAAGACAATTATTACCCATCTGCAGTTTCCCTCAGCTGTATGGAGGGTTAAAACATTTCAGCATCACCAACACTTCAGCTCATTGTTTTGGTGTTTGGGTCAGTTAGCAAGCAATGTGGTGGTATTCATTTCTTTAGGGTAGTTATTTCACACTCTTCACTGTTAATCTGCAGCATAACCAGTTATAAAATAAGTAAATCAGACCAGGACCCCTGAGACGACATATTATATGGTCCTTGATACCAAAAAGCTTGATAACTCCTAAAATAAAGTATATCATCGGCATCAAAGGAAACTCTGCCATTACAGGGTGCCATGCCGTTGTTTTGACTGACAATTATTCCGAAAAACACACAAAAAATTGCTCTAAAGGTCAGTTGTTCTAGGTGTGGATTGACATGATTGGGCTTTGTGGTGAAGCTAGTCCCGAACTTCTGAGGTGTACTTGATGTTACTATTTTTTTATGTACTGTAAGAGTAGCTTCAGTGTTGTCCAGGCTTGTAGTATAAAAGCCATTGGTTCTCCTGGTCAGCAGTGAAATCATCTCACCAACTGTTCTCTTTTGCTGGAATGAGGTTAGTGATTTTCTAGCCTGTTTTATTCTCCTCTGTAGTATCTGTTTTGTTTTCTCTGCTGCCAATAATCTATATGTAAAAACTATAATATAATGTGACTTTCTTTTCTGCAACTTGACAGTGATACGAATGCATCTCTCAGCTGCAGTGAGAATGAATATAAGTCAGACACTAGAGCTTTGTGTGCGAGTCAGGCCTCACTGCCACTGTAAAGCTCAAAGCATGCAAACAAAGTCATCCAATTCCCAACACAACTGTGTCTTTTTTGCAATGGAAGCTTGTGTCTTTTATAATGAAGCAATATTTGCATGTAATTTATGTTTTCACTCTTTTTTTCCAAGAACATTCACTATTTTTCAGGCCTTTACGAGTCAAGGTCACATTCCTGTAATATTTATAACTAACCAAGCATGCTCACCTCCTCTTCACACCTTATACAAGCTGGAAGCTGGCAAGTATAGAAACAAACAAAAGCAATTAGTAACACAGTAGTGCACTACATTATTTGATCCCTTTTACTATCTTTATACCAGTCTTTCATTCATTGAGCCTGGGGCTATTTTTCCTGCACAGTGTGTCTGTCACAGGCTGTACGCAACAACCCCTTTCACTTTGTTGGAACTTGTCGACTGAAGCTATGAGTCAGACAAAGCTAATACATAAACTCTCCAGGTACATTCAAATCCCTGGCACTGCACAGCGTATACCTCCAGCACCTGGACTTTATAGTCTACACTGCAATGTGGTGAATAGGATAGACTGATTACATTTTATCTGCTGGAGGACATGAGAGGGTGAGGGATTTTTTTCTTGCACAAATGATCTAAAAGGTAAGGAAAGCACACTACTGTTCTTCATCAAGGAAATGTTAAGTTAAGATTGAACTTTGATTGTATAATTTCAGGTTGTTGGAAATAATAACATAAATTATAGTAGCACATAATAGTTGCAAATAACAGTAATAACTATGATAATAGTGGTTGAACCCTGTGATTGAAATTTATTGCTTGTGGCATACCTTGTATATTCTCAGCTCCCCCGAAAGCAAAAGTTATTAGATAGTCTTTAAAGAGTGTTTATAACAAGTTTTTAATTTAGGGTTTTGTGAGAAAATGAATAAAGACTTTTAAAGATTAGATAAGATCAACTTTATTGATACCACACGGAAATTAGAAATGCCTGGACAGTAAAGATTAGTAACCTTACAAAAACAGAAACATTTTTAGATCTCATTTAGATTAAGATCTTGTTTCTAAGAAAAACTTTAGAACAATACATACAATATAAAGCATGAAAAACAATATAAGACTATACATCATGAGGAGTTAAGGAAGTTGCAATATATGATTAAAGACACAAAAAATGCAGTGAATAAATAAATGCACTTAAAGGAATGGAACTGGGTGGTGGGTAAAGTATGTTGTATCTGTTGACTGCAGCATTAGCAGCATTAGCAGCTGTTATTGCACTTTAAGATTTATAAAACAATGTAAAACTCCATAATCTTATCAACAATCTGTATATATTTGATGTTTGCATTACAGCTGCCTGTATTATAGTTGAGAAACATATGTAAATTATGTATGTAAGATAGCCCAGGAGATTAAATATTTTATAATATATAATTCTTTCTTACTCCTACCTTCATGTGGGTGCAGGCTGGGCGGTTTGGGGGTGGTAATATATAGTATCTATATATTAGACATTGCTGGATGCTTCGCCCTGATTCACCAGTCAGAGCAAGCTAATATTTACAAAAATGACCAATCACAACCAAAGCAAATCATTGCTTTCAATGGAAAAGCTATCTCTAGCAATTCAAATTTCAAAAAGTCATATCAAAAAGCCTATATTTTAGCTTTATAATGTCTGGGTTTTGATTATTGTTTTTTACGTAATAACCACATATAAACTTTACACTATATAGCACGAAATTGTTCTTGTTATAACAATGCTACATGATATGAAATGTAAAACGTTTTATGTTTTAACAATAAGAATTGTTTGAACATCAAATGTTTTACATTATAACAAGATAAATAGTACATTGTTATAATGTGATAAGATTGTATGTCGTAATAATGTGAAAATATCTTGTTATAACAATACATTTTTTATGTTATACTGATGATACTGACTTGTTTTCTGTTGTTGCTGTAGCAGCAAAACCTATGAATGTATTGAATTGAAAAAAATTGTGCCTTTTATACAGCTGTTCTTTCTTTCAAAAGTTATATTGTATTGCTTTAATCTTAATCAGCACATCACAGTAGATGTTGGAGAGGTGTTCTGAAGAGTGACCTTTACAACTGTGTTGGTTTTACAGTCACAAATGTTGCTTGAGGATGCTTGTGATTACACTATTCATGCCAACAGACATCATACTCTCAATGAATACAACCTACCTACCTACAGACTAAATCCTTACTGCTGTTTCGTGTCTTCTTGTTATTGACCATTGTAGTGCTTTTGTCTCAGCAGAAAAAACTATTATGTGACTAAATAAAGCAGCCATGTGTAAAATGAAAACTTTAGACTCTGAAGCCCCCCTAGTGGCAGTATGATAATTAACACTGTAGCAGACAGTGGAGCACAATACTACCCCCTAGTGGCTTTAAAATTACTCATTTAAAAAGTGTCCCAAGTTCTTCTCATTTAAAAATTGTTTATTTGTAATCTCTATAATATAAAGAAGTAACTTTTTTTTGTGGCATTTTTTTCTGGATGTAGATATCATTATCAAACAAAATCAGCTATGTCAGCAACTGTATGCTCCTGCACTGACACACAGAGTCTATAGCTTTAGTTAAGGGTTCAGTCCATCTGTATGACTGCGAGGCAAAGATCTTATGTCATTTCCCCGAGCTATGACTGAAACCCTAGACCTGTTTCTGCTAAGTTTCTGTAGTGATTTGTCTTTATATGCTGGAGGACTTTTGTGTAGAAGAAAGCCACATTCATCAAGTGAGCAAAGAGCTACGCCCTTTCTATACAGCTTCAGGTGAACCCTTTAAATCAATGGCATGTTCTATAGAGTCCTTTCCACAGGAGGCATGGCTTCAAAAGAAAGAAATATGACCACGCAAACTGAAAAAATGTGACTTGCTCAAAAGGACTAGATGTGTGTGTGCAAATAGCGCCATAGGATATAGTAGCATTCCAATGAAAATCTACTTTTTTACAGAGTTTAGTCTTTCATATTTCACACAGTGTAACAGTCTTTTCCTCATGAATCTTTTAAAGCATAAAAACAGTGCATGCTCTGTTTTTTGCAACAGCTAGCATTGGATGGATAATCTAATTACCACCCAGACTGTCAGTTCTGGTGGAGGTGCTGGAGGAAGTAGCAGAGGTAAGATCTAAGAGGCGCTGGCCTTAACCTGTCGCTGTTCTCAAATGCAAAACCGGCAATGCAGTATTGCATACACTTTTTCTTTCTTTCTTTCTTT